GGATAGTACAGAATGAACACTTCCATCACCACAGAAGTTCTTTTTTTTTTTTAAGTTTATTTATTTTGAGAGAGAAAAAGCAAGAATGTGTGCAAGCAGGAGAAGGGCAGAGGGGGAGAGAATCCCAAGCATGCTATGTATTGTCAGTGTAGAGCCTGATGTGGGATTCAAACATACAAACCATGAGATCATGACCTGAGCCAAAATCAAGAGTTGGATGCTGAACCAGCTGAGCCACCCAGGTGCCCTGAGGTCCCCAACTTCTACCATGTAAAGACATGGCAAAAACATAGCCATCTGCACACTGGAAGAGGGCTTTCACCAGAACCTGGCCATGCTGGTACCCTCATCTCGAATTACCAGTCTCCAGGGCTAGGAGAAAAAAATTGCAGTTGTTCATAGCCACCTAGTCTGCGGTGTTTGGTTATAGGTGCCTGAACGATCTAAGACACTGGCCAAGTATAGGGATTGTAAGTAGTATGGGCACACGGGCTAAACTGTCTCTGCAGTTTGGTGGGAATAAGTCTAGTATTTCAGCTCCTATTTTTTTTTAAATATTTTTATTTTATTTCTAGGAGAGAGAGAGAGAGAGTGAGAGAGAGAGAGCGTGAGCAGGGCAGGGTCAGAGAGAGAGGGAGACACAGACTCTGAAATAGGCTCCAGGCTCTGAGCTGCCAGTCAGCACAGAGCCCGACGCGGGGCTCGAACCCACGAACCGCGAGATCATGACCTAAGCGAAAGTCGGACGCTTAACCGACTAAGCCACCCAGGCGCCCCATTCAGCTCCCTTTTTAAAGCCTTCTTTTCTGTTCTGAATCCTGAAAGGTTATTAAGAATAGTTAAGGTGATTCAAGAGTGATAATTCTTCAGTTGACTACAACAAAGGACGTGATGTTGATTTGAGTCTGGTAGAAACTACTAAATATAAATAGTGCATGCTTGGGAATAGTGCTCATAGTATAGATGGGGAGGCTTTGGTTAAGTTGTGCATCTTCTTTAGTGTATAAGTCAACAAAGTAAACAGTTTTGAAATTGAATATATCGAGTAGAACTGTAGAAGAACTTCAGAACATATTAAGTGGGTGTATGGACACAATAATTGCTGATAAGAACCATAATGGTTTCCGTTAGGAATTATTTTAAAATGTAATATGTACCTTCTTTGTCTGATTTGGTATTTAAAGGTGTCCCTGCTGGAAAGAAGTTCACTAATTTATTGACTCTAGTGGATTTCTCAGGGTCCTTTTTTGTGCTTTGATGTGATCTGATTTTCTAGCATTGCCGTAATCTGATACAAATGGCTCCTAATTTATGAATGGCCTAAACTTAGAAGACACCCCAGCCCATTGCCACAGGAGCCCTCCTGCTGTGAGTACTGCAGCCTCTAGCGCCTGCTATCCCTTGACCAGCACCCTGCCTGGCCCTCTGGCCCCCACCTCAAAGGTTCTTCGCCTCAAAGGACGAAGGGCTCAGGGCACTTCCTCTCCTCTCTTTGTAGTCTCCCAACACTATAGCAGTCCTCCCACCTCCATGCCCCAAGAAGACTTTAGTCATTGCATATTTTAACACCTGCATTTGCACAAATGAAGTTCAGGCTCAGTGATGGTAAGCAACGTACCCCGTGTAAGTAGAACTAGTTAGTGACACACGGATTTGGAACTTAAACTCAAGTCCCCTGATTTTTAGTCCTGGTCTCTTCCTACCATGCTGCTGATTCACAAAGGTAGATGTTATGAGGGTCCTGGTCAAAGCTTAGAAATTACTGGGCCAAATGTGTGTTCTAAGTGTCTGTCTTATACCCGTTGAACTCATGGCTCCAATTTGGGAGCAGGACTCTCCTGGTAATTTGTTGTGTGGATATAGTTGATACTTCTACTTTATAGTTGACATTATTACTTTAAAAATGTATTGCAAGCACGTTGGAGGACCTTAAGCCAAAGGAAGTGCTAGAAGTTTCAGTACTTGAGACATTTAAAGGAAAGAAGTAGAAGGTGTGTTGTAAGCATGCCTGACCAGGCTGGCGAGGTCAAACTACCAAGATCTCTGTAGTTTTCTCAAAAGATAATGTGAATGGTTCCGCCATCCACTCCTGCTATGATTTCTGCTTACTCCTCAAGTACACTTTCTACTAAAGTGGAGTGACACTTCAGACTGAAATCTAGGTGTTTGGTGTGATAAGAAAATCGCATTTGTTCTTTTTGAACAAGAACATACTAGCCTCAAGTTGAAAAGTAAGATAAATATACATATATTTATTTATTTTTAGTTCTTGGGCATTTTTTGAGGTGGTTTTCAGATAATTTTGAAAAAGTTTGTGATGATTAATAACTGCTGAGAACTATTGTCAGTTTCATGTTAAGAAATTAAGCACCATTTTCATTTTGAAACTTGACCAGTCCCTAGGTACATACTTAGCTGTTTCTTGAACCTCTCTCTCAAGGGGGTTTATTAAAACCTGTGTTTACAGGGCACTGGGGTGGTTCAGTTAGTTAAGTGTCCGGCTTCAGCTCGGATCATGATCTCAGTTTGTGAGTTCAAGCCCCATGTCAGGCTCTTTGCTGATAGCCCAGAGCCTAGAGTTTACTTTGTATTCTGTGTCTAACTTTTTCTCTGCCCCTCTCCCACTCTGCTTCTCTTTCTCCCTCTCACAAATAAATAAACATTAAAAAAAAAACAAACACCTTGTATTTAAGGGCACCTGGGTGGCTTAGTCTGTTAAGTTATCGACTTTGGCTCACGTCATGATCTCGGGGTTTGTGAGTTCAAGCCCTACATCGGGCCATGTGCTGACAGCTCAGAATCTGGAACCTGCTTCAGATTCTGTGTCTCCCCTCTCTCTGCCCCTCCCCTGGTTGTTTTCTCAAAAATAAACTTAAAAAAAACAAACTTGTATTTACCTGTACAACAAAGATCCAAAGGGTTGTTAGTCTGTGGACCCAAGTTGAGGAATAGAGGCCCAACATTTTTCAATGAGGAGTTTGCTTAATTCTTTACCTCGAAGGCCTGTGGGCCATGAGAAGGCCTGTTCATCCTGGGGAGGAGAACCACATGTTGGGGAGTTTGGGGAAGGGATGAGTATGCAGCCTTGTCTACTTAACTGTCACAGAATTTATATCTCTATATTAGTACTTCTCAGCAGGGTGGGGCTGCAGAGCAGTTTTGTCCCCCCAGGGTGCCCAGTGCATTTGGTAATATCCAGAGACCTTACTGGTTGTCCCAGGTCGGGGAAGGGTTGCTACTGGCATCGAGTGGTAGAGGCCAGGAACACTGCTCTACACAGGACAGCCCCCACAAGAAAAATTTATCCAGCCCCAAATGTCCCTGGTGTCCAGGATGAGAAACCCTGCTCTGTTCTCCACCGAATCCCCCCGTCAACTTGCTGGGTATGCTGCTGTTAGGAGAGGCCTTGGGGTTTTGTAGCGTGCCAGGAGAAGAGAAACCATACTCTGCTCCTGACATTTGCTAGTACCTGAAAAAATAAAGTGGTGCCATTTTAATCCATTTATGCTTGTGCTATTTCTGGAGTCCTTAGTTGACGCTATAAAGGACTGTAGTCTCCTTTGCCTCCTTAGGAATAGTACTTACTAGTTTTCCCTAGTGTTTGTATTTTACTGCCAGACACTGTCACTTGCTTATGGAAGAACTATATCATGGGCAGGAGGTTTAAAGCAAAAGGCGGTGCTGTGCTGTTTTCCATAGGCTACTGTGATGTCTCTATAGCCAAAAGTGTTCACCATTGTCTAATCCAAATTTCTTTTTTAGCAGAGGAACCCCATGAACCCATTTTCTTTTGTTCTGGCCTCACTAAAATCTGGACTATCCTGAAGGAGGAACAGTAAATATTTATAATTAATTGCTTTATATTCTATCACTTTTGTATTCATCTTGGCACCAGTTTAAAAGAACCGCTGCCGTCTATTGTTTCACCTGTCACTGTTTATCTTCTTGGCCTTTTTAAAAAGCTAGATCAGACAGTCGTGTGGGTAACTGGTTTGTAACGATGTACAGTGTGCAGTGAATGCTCTCAACAGGGAAGGAGCCACATGGATGTGACTCGAGTGGGGCCACAGTGCATTGTTGCATGCCCGCTTGCCTATACTTTTCTTGGCATGATTATTTCTGGGCTGAATGGGTTTTCAGGTCACAAAGCATATTCATCCAAATCGCTGGATTTACAAGGATTTTTGTGCAACAGACACATGGGCTGCATGAGGTCCATGTTAGTCATTTAGCTGTGAACATGGCATTGGTTTTCTGAGGCAAAAATAAAGAGAATTGTCTAAGCAACAAGCTGCTGTTGAATTTGTTAGCAACAAGCTTTGTGATCAGACAATGGCATTGTATTGCCCTTTAACAAACAAGAACATATTCACTTGAGCAGGCGACAGTTGAGTGGAACACGAGAATATTCTTCTCAGCCCTGCAGCTGGGTTTTAGATGGTTTATTCTCCTTCTTTCTTCCTTCTGTTTGGAATTTGCTTCTGGTTTTTGTGCTTTTAGAAAGGCTTTTCTGTTTTCTTAGGAGAAGAATTTGGTTGTTGATAAATGTGTGTCCATTTCTTGCTATATATATTTATATATATATATCTCCTTAATAGCCTATTTTAACTCTAAATTAAAATTGTGGTCTAGATTTTTTTCATAAAAGGCAGTTCTTTTGTTCCCAAACTGTAGAGCATTTTCAATATGTATCAAACTTAGATTTTAAAGATCCATGTTTTAAAAATGAAAACTTTTTCATTTAAAAAATGAAAATTCAGGCACGTATATCTTTAGGCACACACACAAAGCATCCTAATCCTAGTCTGTGACAGAGTAATTTGGGGACAGACTTATATTTACCTTTATCTTCCTGCAGAAGGGACTCTGCCATTAAGGACACTCAAATACTATTTTTTTTCTCATGATGATGATGATGATTATGTTTAGAAATTAATGGTATGTCTGTTTGAGAGCATGTATACATATGTGTTTAGCATGAACAGTACCCACTGTTCAAAATGTACCACATCAGATACCAGTCTTATTCAGGGGTATTACGTTCCCCTTTTTGTACCTTGTCCTCTGACCGGGTCCTGTCCATCCATCCCATTCAAGGTAAAGAAACTGCTGCAATGAAAGCTGATCTCCTGAGGGCCAGGAATATGAAAAGGTACATTAACCAGCTGACTGTGGCTAAGAAGCAGTGTGAGAAGAGAATCCGAGTCCTGGGAGGCCCTGCCTATGACCAGCAAGAGGATGGGGCCTTGGATGAGGGAGAAGGGCCTCAAAGCCAGAAGGTAGAACTTTTTAGTTTCTTGTTTTGACAATTCCATGTTCATCGTAAACACTCATGTAATCTCCTATCCAATATTTTAACTTTTTTGGCATTTAACATAAGACATATGTTGCAGAGCAGAGACTCACATGTTTGCCTTTATGTGTCAAAGAGCTGTATTACTTGGTGTCCTTGACTTCTGTGAAGGGTGATAGGTATGAGAGATAGCCATGGTGTGTGTGTGGGTGTGTGTGGGTGTGTACATACCCATGTGTATTTTCCTGTCCCGCAATTCCAGAGGCACATGCTTACATTTGCAAGGGCTCAGTCATGTTACCCACTACCAGTTGGAAAGAAATAACTACCTATGGAACAGAAAGTATCTTGTAAGTTATTTTACTTAGCTTTCACCACAGTTCTATAAAATTTGAATTTCTGAATTTCCATTTAAAGGTGAAGAAACAGAGTTGATTTAAGTAAATTACCTAAGGCCAGGTGGGAGGAGGAAGAATTAGATAAAAACCCAGACTCAGTTGCTTCACAGTCTGAATGCTTTCTCAGTAAGCCATAATTCATAAGTGGCTATTTTTATAAGCATAACTTTGGACGATACTGAGTCCTGAAATCATGGAGCTTCGCAAAGTGTCTTGGCCCTACCTCAGCACAAGCTCTTACTGTCAAGGACCCAAGCTTGTCTTCCACCAGCCAGAGAACAATAGGATTAAAGGAAACACTAGCGAGACCCCCTGAGGAGCTCGCTTTTACCACTTGGGAACAGGACTTCAGGGCAAACTCCAAACCTTTTAAAAGAAGGCACTTAGTCACAAGGAGGCCACCATCAGTATAAGCTAACTCTGGCTACAGCTTCTAACCCCACCTATTTGGACTTTTAGTCTCTTGATCTTTTCCTATTAAGTTCCAGTTTTGACTTTCGATGCTTATCTAGGACTTTCCCTTCCTCTGTATTCCAGTGATGAACTTTGACCTTTTTTATGGTTCATGGCCCACTATCCATTAGAGCTTCTTCAGGATAGTTTATGTTTGACCTTGGACCAACTCTAACACAAGCCAGAGTTCTTCCACAACATCTTACGTAAGTGGCACAAATGAAGCCCTGAATAGCTCTTGTTTTATAGAGGCTTGCCCTCACTACTGGAGATCTGTTTATTTTGCTGTTATTTGCAAATATGCCTTTCTGTAATTTTGGCTTTGTTGTCCAAAGTAAAAATTTCACCTTTTGGTGAATGTTGAAGAAAGAGTGGATTTGGCAGGTTGAATATTATCTTTCTTCCTCTTTCTTGTTCAGCCTCTGGACTCTCAAATAGATTTCCAGCCACATTTCTCATAGAAGAGGTTCTCTTCTTTTGTCCTATGTATTCATCCAGTCATTCAACAAACATTAATTTTGGGTCCATAATCTCTCAGTTGCAGTGCAGTGTACTAGTATCCAAAAGGAATAAGATGGAGTTTGTGCTCTCAAATGAGAGTCCCATATAATTATAAAATAGAAAGGTAAGCAATCCTGTAGAAATGGGAGATGTACACCTAGAAGAAACACCTGATGATTTGCTACCTAGTCAAAAGTGAAGCAGGGTGATTATTGGAAAGACCACCAGATGCCAAATAGAAGCGAGGCAAGGTTTTATTAACGGCTGGGCCAAACCCCATCTGCTGATCGTAAGGAGAAAAATGCAGAGAATGGCCCCGAACAAAGGTAGCAGTGAGCTTATATGGATTTCATCAAGGCAGGATAGGTCATTAACCAATTACAATTCACAGCATTTCATGGTAGCCAATTACATTGTGACACACAGATGTTAGTTTTGGCAGGAACCTATCATTTTAAAGTTCTTTGTCTTAAGAGGTTTTGAAATGACCAATCATAGTTAGACATTTGAGAAACCATGGGGTAGTGACTACGTGACAGACCACCTGACATGAATGGTAACAAGGTGTTCTGTAACCTTTGCCTACAGGGTGTGGTTAACCAGCACAGGGAAGCACAAGCTTGCTAAGCGGATTTACAGAAGCAGAAATAGCATGTTAGTATTTAACCGTGCTTGAGGTCAACCTAAACAAAAAGATGATGGGGTTTTAGATCTTTTGGTAAAAGAAAACCTTGAGAAATATAAAAGAAGCTCATTTTAGGAGCACGGAAGGTGAGGCCAGTATACATTATCTGGCAGTATTTAGTAGAAATAGACTTACTTAATCTGGTTTTACCTCCACTTTGACTTCTTTCTCCAGATACTTCGGGAGGGAGCAACCCATTGCTGGTGCAACAGTTTAACTGCAGAGTAAAATCATTTCTCTTAGGCTTCAGGCTGGAAGCCTCAGATAATATTACAGAATTCTAATGTGTATAATAGTTTGCTATTCTAAAGATAAGACTTTGGTTAGTTTGGGGCCATACATGGGTAGAACGGTTTTGTTATAACCTAATCATATTTAATCCAGAGGAATCGCCGTCTAACTTTATTTGAGAACTTAGTCTTCAAAATTAGATTAATCCCTCAATTAAAAGAAATCAATCAAGTAAATAAATAAAAGGAAAGAATTATATGCTGTCTATAAGAAACTAAATGTGAAGGCACAGATCGGTTGAAAGTGAAAGGAAGAGATAAGCCTTGCTATGTAAATACCAAGTATAAGAAATATAAAGTAGCTAATATTAACATCAGATGAAATAGACACCAGAACAAGGAATATAACCAGGGATGAAGGACATTTCATTATGACAGAGGGGTCAATTCATCAAGAAGGCATGATAACCTTAAATATTTATGCAAACAGTGAGACCTTTAAAATATATGAACTACAGACTGACAGAACTGAAAGGAAAAAATATCCATAATTAGAATTGGAAGTGTTCACACCTTTTTCTCAATAATTGATAAAAGAAAGAAACAAAAAACCAGAATATAGAAAATGTGAACAGTAGTAACAAATAATGGGAACTAATGGACATTTCTAGAACATTCTACCGAACATCAACTGAATACTCATTCTTCTCAAATGTATATTGAACACTCACTAAGAAAGACTATATTGCTGGGCAATAAAACAAATCCCAACAGACTAAAAAGGTTTAAAATTATACAGACTATATTCTCTGACCAAATGGATTTGAAAAGACCTGGAAAATTCTCACATATTTAAAGAATTAAATAACATATCTAAATAAGGCTTGAATCAACAAATCATAAGGGAAATTAGAAACTAGTTTGAATGGAATGAAAATGGAAATACAAGATCTTAAAGCTTGTGGGATACAGTTAAAGCAGTACTTAGAAGGAAACACTTATGCTTATATTAAAAAAGAAGAAAGGTCAGGGCACCTGAGTGGCTCAGTTGGTTAAGTGTCCAACTCTTGATCTCTGCTCAGGTCATGTGAGAAGAAAGAGAAGGAGGAAGAGAAAGAAAAGCATCTAAAATCAGTGTTATTCCCCCTTAAGCAACAAATGAAAATTAAAATAACTAGAAGAGAGCAAATAATATAACAGAAATCAGTGAAGTAGACAACAGAAAAACAGAGAAAAATAAATGAAAGCAAAGGATAGTTCTTTGAAAAGGTCGATTTTACATTAATTGGACAAAAAGAAGAGAGAAGGCACAAATGACCATTATGAATGAGAAAGGGGGCATCACTATAGATCTTACATGCATTAAAAGAAGAATGAAGGAATGCTCTGAACAATTTTAAGCCAATAAATTTCACAATTTAAATAAAATACACAAATTAATTATCAGAACTGACTCAAAAAGAAGTAGAAAATCTGAGTAGCCTTAGGCGCATTATTAAAGAAAATGAATATATAATTTAAAACCTTCCCACAAAGAAAGCTTCAGGTTTGGGTAATTTTGCTACTGTATTCTACTGAACATTCAAGACAATATCAGTCTTCGCCATATAATTTCAAAAAATGGAGGAGAAAGGTGCTTTTCAACTCCTCATAGGAAATCAACATAACTCTGATACCAAACCAAAGAAAAGCATTAAAATAAAGATAATCACTCACCACTATTCATCAGGAACCTAAACAAAATATTCCTTAAGAAAATATTAGCAAATCAAATATAACAATCTACGAATAGAAATATTACTCCAATATATGTTCTCCTGGAAGGGGGTCTTTAGTGTAAAATAGTATGTATCATTTATCTGCAATTCTGTTATCAAGGCTTATTTTTTAAACAGCTTTATTAAAGTATAATGACCTACAATATACTGTACATATTTAAAGTATATAATTTGGTAAGTTTGACATAAGTATATACTCATGAAACCATCACAACAGTCAAGATAGTAATTATATTTGTCATCCACAAAAGTTTTATCAACCTGTTTGTAATCTTAACCCTACTTGAGACCCACTGACCTATTCCTTTCATCTGTGTTTACTTATCTAGTAAGTTACTTCTTAACTACCCTGATTTTTGGCACCTTTCATTATCTTTTCTTTTTTAGCCAAAATCTTGGTTCAGGCTCTCCTTAACGAATTTTCATAGTCTGTTGTCACTGACAACAGCTATGACAAGGTGGTACTGTTGCCAGTCTATGGAAGAAGAAACCGAGGCTCAGAGTGATGGAGTCACTTAGAGCTCCCAGGAGTGGGAATCCTGGCTAGGCTTGTTTGGCCGTAAAGCCTGAACAATTTCACCTGCACAGTATTGCCTTCCTATCTTGCTTTGTTTTCATCTGCATATGAAAACAAAACAATATGTATTGCTCTATTTTTTGTAAGATTGTACACCCACTTTTCAAATGGCCCCAGAATGGAAAGATGGAGGGAAGAATTTAAGAAAAATAAAGGAAGAAGAGGAAATGAAAATGTAAAGGGTGTTGAAATGAGTGGCAGCAAATGATTGATCTCTTCTCTGAAATCAGTTTTCTTCTCTCTTTTTTTTTAACCTTTCATTTCAAATCTGGCTAGTTAACATAGTGTTATATTAGTTTCAGGTATACAGTATAGTGATTCAACAATTCCATATATCACCCAGTATGTATCACCTTAATTCCCA